TTGGGCTCCCTGCTCGGCAGGGAGCCTGCTTCTGCGTCTCCCACTCCCCCTGCTTGTGTTCCCTCTCTCACTGTCAAATAAATAAATAAAATCTTTAAAAAACAAAAACAAAAAAAAACAGGAGGGCAAAGGGAGACTGGGAAGAACTCCAAATTGGGCATCGTGTGCTTCTTTCTTTTCCCCTAGCCCCTGACAAAACCTACTGAAAATTTCGCACAGAATACTGCACAAAGCCATCACCATAGACAGAAATGGGTGGGTCTGGAAGCCGCTTGGCACTGACCAGCATGCCTCGTCTCCGGAAGCCCATCATACACAGGCGGCACTTGAACGTGAAGCTGTCGTAGTCCGTGGATGTGATACGAGGCTTGAACGTCTTGGAGCGGCTGATGCGGTCAGCTTTCTTGGCCTCCCTCTCAGGGTTGTGCATCCTCTGCATATGTTCCCGTAGTTTGTCTTTTCGCTATTTAGAGAGAATGTTTGAAAAGGCAGGGGAGTGGGGAGAGAGGGTAGAAAATTTTTAACTGAAGGGATTAAAAAAAGCAATACAAGTTACCAGTAAGCACAACCTACCAAGAGGCGTCCGAGTTACCAGGCTGCTGGAATGGACAAACTCTGTCCCTTAGCAAATAAGTGCGTTCCACTGAGTTTTGGTTTTGGGGAAGAAAGAATTTGCATGTATTATGGAGAAGATCAAAGATTAATGGAATAAATTTGGTATTAAGAATTTCAAGACAGGGGCGCCTGGGTGGCTCAGTTAGTTAAGCGTCTGCCTTCGGTTCAGGTCATGATCCCAAGGTCCTGGGACCAAGCCCCGCGTGGGGCTTCCTACTCATCAGGAAGCCTGCTTCTCCCCCTCCCCCTCCTTATGCTCTCTCTATCAAATAAATAAATAAAATCTTTAAAACAAAAACAAAAACAATTACGAGACAAACTGATAATGAATGATAGGTAATACTGTATCTACAAAACCATTTGTATGCTTAGTTCCCACACGTTTTAATAATTCTTCCAAATCCGGGTGCCTGGGTGGCTCAGTTGGTTAGGCGACTGCCTTCGGCTCAGGTCATGATCCTGGAGTCCCTGGATCGAGTCCCACATCGGGCTCCCTGCTCGGCA